CCTCGCCGAGCCCACCCGAGGGGCTGCGAGCCTCCCGCCGCGCCGCAACTGTGCGTCGCCTCAGCTGCCAGCCGGCCGCGGGCAACGCAGGCCGCGGCGAGGAGACCCGGTGCGGCTGAGGAGGGGCGCCCGGCCGAGCCCTCGGCGCGGAGGAGACCGAGGCGGGCGGCCGGAGAGGAGCTGCGCGGCGGGCCTGCACGAGCCCCTCAATTCTGCACCCCCGACAGCGGCGGAGGAAACTGCGGCGGAGGAGACGGGAGGTGGCGTCGGGGACGGCTCCGCGGCGGCTGCTCTAATAGCATTTATCCGCCGCTGCCTCCCCTCTCGCCGCCGCCGCGGCATGTGGACGCCGCTCATTGGCCGAGAGCGCCCAGCGCGGCGCGGGCGGCGCGGCCCCGCCCCCTCCCCCGGCTCCCTCCCGCGCGCGCGCAGCGCGCCCACGCCGCCGGTAGGCCCCGCCCCCTCCCGCGCGCCGCCCCCAGTAACCCGGATCGAGACCGCGCGCGTGCACGCGTGTGCGCGCAGGCCGCCTTCGCGGCAGGGCTTTGCTGGCTGCGGCGAGCGGAGGGGGAGCTCGGTTTTTCTCGGCCGTGGCTTTCGCGTGTCGTCCGAGAGCGGGAGTAGGGCGCGGATCTTACGGGTGGGCGCTCAGCGCTCACTGCCCCGCCGCTGGGGGACTGTCTGGGGCGCGCGGTGGCAGGGAGGTGCCGGAACGCGGGCGACCCAGGCGCGCTCGGACGGGTGTCCTTGGCTCGCCTCCGCACCCTGGACAGCCCGAGCCGTGCTCTGCAGCCTAATGTCTCCTTCAGAGCGCACCCCCCACCCCCATCAGCCACCAAGGGGAGGAATTCCGCAGTTCCCTTCCCACACAGCCAAAGTCGCTCATCTGTCGCCTCGGGAACACCGCATCCCACACCCCCAGCCGAGAGCCCCATCTCCATCGCACGCCAACACCAGCCCTTCCTTCCCCTGCGGGTTCTGTACCCCGACAGGGAATCCCACTCTTGGGGGAGGAAGGAGGAAGTTTTATTTCGTTTTAGTAGCCCACACAGCCTTTGACATACGTCTGCATAGAAGTCACAGGTTATGCTGTAGCAGCTATGCGTTTGCTAGGTGCTTGGCTTTGGCTTTAAAATGAAGGTTGCTATATAGACTTGCACTTTCCCCAATGAGAGAGAAGGAGCCTTCAATCCCAAACCTATTCTTAAACCACAAATCATCTGCTCTGTTGGTGAGGTCTGTTAAGAGCCTAGCATAAAATGTGATTTTGCAAATATGAAGAGATCGTACTGAGTCAGGTGTGACGTCCAGCCTGTAGTTTCAGCACAGAGATGGAAGAAGCCCTGTGATCAAGAGTTCAAGGTCATTCTCGGACACTTGAGTTTAGAACCAGCCCGCAGTGTTGAACTGTGTCTAAAAAAATAAAACATAAATTTAAAAAGCAGAGGAAGGTGGGAAGCCATACTAAACAAGGGGGAAGGGAATCTTTGCATTGAATTCACGAATATTTTCACAAAGAGCAGCTTCCTGAAGGGAATCGGTTGCAAAATAAAGCATTTCGTCCACTCAAGTGTTTTAGCAACGCTACCCACCACCCCATCACTTGAGTCGTCCCACAGGGCTCCGCCCCAAGACTTAAGATAGATTCCTTCAACAGATGCAAATCACAGTACTTTACCCGACTGAAAAAAAACGAAGTACGTCATTTCATTTAATTATTTCCAAGGAGTGGAGGCTGGCATGCAGTTCTGATTGATACTTGGAAAACGACCAACAGAACCCTACACGAAACAAACAAACAAAAATTCTAGTGTATAGCAATGCACTCCCTAGAAGCAAGGTGGAAACTGGTTAGGGCACAGCCTCTTCAGGAGGATCGGGTGACAGCCTGCGAGGTGGGGGTGTGGTGATGGAGAGCTGGTGGGTCTTTGGCCTGTGTTCCAGTTCTGCCTGGCTTCGTGTTGTTTCACACCAACAGCAGGAGGCACTGAGGGCAGGAAGTTCGCCTTTGGGAGTTGTCTAAGCCATTCACTGGGTTCCGGGTACTTCCCTCAGGCCATCTTCTTCATTTTTGCCCCCTCCTGAAAGATGCTTTCCTTATCTAAAGCAGCCCCCCTCCCCAGTGCACCCTCTATCACTTTATTCAGAATCCCCCTTCCCCCAGAACCCCAAATTTTCTGTTTAGCTGTTTACTGCCTTTCTCCTAGGTGTCTGGTGGGACACCCCAGACATGAGCTCCATGAGGACACAGCTTGTCTGTCTTGTCCGTCTTTAGCATCCCCTCATCATCTATTGAGAACCTGCAGTTTAAGTGAATGAGAGTCCCACCTTTCCCAACCCATTAGTAACCTGCAAAGGGCTGTGCCAGCGCCAAGGCCTCAGCAAATGTCTGCTGGACTCTAGGTCATTGCTTTCCATTCATGAACAAGACCTCTAAACAACTTGCCTTATGAGAATGGCTATGAAACAGGTTTAAAACAAAAAGAAGGCAAAACTACATTATAGGCCTGTCAGCGATGAGAATGGCCTATATTCTCATAGGTACTGCTACCAGTCATAGTGCTCTTCTGGAATGATCTTTGCAAGGTTTTGTTTATTTGTTTGTTTTCACTGAAGTCTGGAATGCTCCCTTAAACTAACAGTTTGACTTTGTTTTTATCTCAGCATGGGCCCTAGGCGGTTGGTTTAACACACCAAAATAGGCCTTTGTTTCCTCTGCCTGTTGTTATCTCTGAGACCCCTTGCTTAGAGGTTGGTGAAACTGATCAGGAACCCAGACTCCCAAAGGCAGAATCCCTGGTTACTCTTATTTAGAAATAAGGTTGGGAGAAACTAAATAATTAAAGGATTTATCTCAGTTAAAAAGAAGATGGAAGGGGGCAGGAGAGATGGCTCAGAGGTTAAGAGCACTGGAAGCTCTTTCCAGAGGTCCTGAGTTCAATTCCCAGCAACCACATGGTGGCTCACAACCATCTGTACTGAGATCTGGTGCCATGTTCTTACGTGCGGGCATACATTGAGGCAGAATGTTGTATAAATAAATAAATCTTTTTTTTAAAAAAAAAAAAAAAGAAGAGCCGGGCGATGGTGGCGCACGCCTTTAATCCCAGCACTCGGGAGGCAGAGGTAGGCGGATCTCTGTGAGTTCGAGACCAGCCTGGTCTACAGAGCTAGTTCCAGGACAGGCTCCAAAGCCACAGAGAAACCCTGTCTCGAAAAACCAAAAAAAAAAAAAAAAAGAAGAAATAGGAAGGGTGTAGGGGCACATGCCTTTGATTCCGGCATTCAGGAGGCAGAGGCAAGTGGATATGAGTTTGAGACTAACCTGGTCCACACAGTGAATTCCAGGTCAGCCAAGAACCTGCCTTTTTAAAAAAATATTTTTTATGGTTTATTTAAATGTGCATTGGTGTGAAGGTGTCAGATCCCCTGCAACTGGATCTTCAGACAGTTGTGAGCTGCCATGTGGGTGCTGGGAATTGAACCCAGGTCCTTTGGAAGAGCAGTCAGTGCTCTTAACCACTGAGCCTGCCTTTTTTAAAATAAAAATTTGGGGTTCGGTTTGTTTTATGCACAGTGCTGTATTCTCTTCTTGTTTTCAAGCTTACTCGCAAAATAAGAAAGGTTCCACTGTCTTCCAGCAAGTCTCGCAGTCACACACGCCATCACTCGAGGACAGGAAGAAAAGGGAAAGGAGAGAGACTGCAATGCAGAAAGATGAAGTGTGACCAAAGACCTTCAGAAGCATCAATAAAAGAGGACATTAGCTAATAAAAGGCAGGTTAGTTTAAAAAGCTGTTTGGATAGAAAAGCTGAGAGGCGACTTGCAAAAGAGGCCTAGCCAGTTCTCGGACCTTGGCAGGCCTCCTGTGAAGTAGTGGAGGCCACAAGAGGCAGTCTGCTCCATATTTGGACAGCTCTAATCATTAAAGCAGCCCCATTCTGGGCAGAATCCACCTTCTCTTAGCTACATCCACTCTTATTAGCTCTCCAAAACCACCCTGAACAAGCTTAATCCCTCGAGTACATGATCCTTTTAAGTATGTCAAGATCTTTACTGCATTAATGTCTCCTTTCCTAACTATAAAGAGCAGCAGGGTACTGGCGCTGTCTTCCTATAGTGCGGGTCTTAGCCCCTCGGCATCTCTGGACACGCCCAGTCCTGAGCACACCATGCTGAGCACCCACCTCTGCCCTGTATCCTTCCACTTCACAGTGTAGTGTTAGCGAACTCAAACCAAATCCTTTCCATGCGAACCACAGTCCCGTTAAATCTGTTTATGGTATACTTATCTTGTTGATTTATGTGTATACCAGGCACCGAGCCTGCCTATAATGAGATGGTTTTGGGCTTATTATGATCTTTTTGAGTCTTCATCTTTAAACAGTCATTTTTAAAAATTTTTCTATGTGAATGAGTGTTTTGCTTGAATGTGTGCCTATACACCACTGTGTACCTGGTGCCCTTGGAGGCCAGAAGAAGGCATCAGATCCCTTGGAACTGGAGGGACAAATAATTGTGAGCCACTATGTAGGGGCTGAGAATAGAACCTGGCTCCTCTGAAATAGCAGCCAGTGCTCTTAACCACTGAGCTATCTTCAAATCCCAGATTTATTTATTTATTTATTTTTGGTTTTTTCGAGACAGGGTTTCTCTGTGGTTTTGGAGCCTGTCCTGGAACTAGCTCTTGTAGACCAGGCTGGTCTCGAACTCACAGAGATCCGCCTGCCTCTGCCTCCCGAGTGCTGGGATTAAAGGCGTGCGCCACCACCACCCGGCTTCCCAGATTTATTTTACCTGTGTATTTGTGTGTATATCTGTGGAGAGAGTATGTGCACATGAGTGCAGGTGCCTGAGGAGGCCAGAAGAGGGCATCAGATCTCCTGAAGCTGGAGTTATAGCTCCTTGTGAGCTATCTATCCAACATGGATACTGGGAAAAGAACTCCAGTCCTCTGCAAGAACATTAGTTCTCTCTCCCTTTAAAAACATTCAGGATTGTGCTCACTTCGGCAGCACATGTACTAAAACTGGAGCAACACAGAGAAGATTAGGTTGCCCTGTGAAAGGATGACACACAAATAAATATGTGAAGCATTCTAGACTCTGATCATTTTTGCTTCATCTTATTATAATTTATTTTGTCATGGTTGGTTGTTATCTCTTAGAAGCCCATTCTTTTTTTTTTTTTTTTTTTTTTTTTTTTTTTTTTTTTTTTGGTTTTTCGAGACAGAGTTTCTCTGTGGTTTTGGAGCCTGTCCTGGAACTAGCTCTTGTAGACCAGGCTGGTCTCGAACTCACAGAGATCCGCCTACCTCTGCCTCCCGAGTGCTGGGATTAAAGGCGTGCGCCGCCACCACCCGGCCTAGAAGCCCGTTCTTGAGAGACAGAAAGGGAGTGGGTCTGGAGGGAAGAGGAGATGGGGGAACTGCAAGGAGAGAGGGGAAACTATAATCAAGGTATATTGTATGAGAAAAGACTTTATTTACAAAAAGAGAAAAAAATGTAGATTTATTTATGTGTAGGAGTGTCCTGCCTCTCATGTCTGTGTACTACATGTGTCCCTAGTGCCCTCGGAAGCCAAAAGAAGGCATCAGACATCCTGGAACGGGAGTTACAGATGGTTCTGCCATGTAGGTGCTGGGAACTAAACCCAGATCCTCTGCAACAAATGCTCTTTCGCACTGAGCCGTCTCTCCAGCCCTGGCCCCAAAGAGTGCTTATGTGGTCCCCTCCAGATCTGGCTGACACACAGTCTAACAAGCAGAATGTGTAAGTCGCTATCCAACAGGCCTTCTAGTGACTCATCCGGGTTAAAAGACTAATTGGCTGGATGTCATTCCTCAGTCGTTATAAATCTTTTCTTTTTTTCAAGATTTATTTATTTGTGTAGGAATGCTCAATCTGCACATACACCTTTATGCCGAAGAGGGCCTCAGCTCCCATTAGAGATGGTTGTGAGCTCCCACTAGAGATGGTTGTGAGCCACTAAGTGGTTGCTGGGAATCGAACTCAGGTCCTCTGGAAGAGCAGCCAGAGGTCATAACCGCTGAACCATCTCCAGCCCCTGTTATAGATCTTTTGTTTTTGTTTTTGTTTTTTTTTTTTTTTTTTTTTTGGTTTTTCAAGACAGGGTTTCTCTGTGGCTTTGGAGCCTGTCCTGGAACTAGCTCTTGTAGACCAGGCTGGCCTCGAACTAACAGAGATCCGCCTGCCTCTGCCTCCCGAGTGCTGGGATTAAAGGCGTGCACCACCACCGCCCAGCTGTTATAGATCTTTTAACCAGAGGTTCCAAAGTCAAGAAGTAAAGCTCCTAAAGGTGTTCCCACTTACTTACCCCTTACAGTCTGTCATTTGGTGTTGGAATCACCCTTCCTTTGATGGGTGTAGTCAGCTGACTTGAAAGTCATGTACCATGAGAGAGAGATACCCATTTAAGCAACAGGACCAGATCTGCCATCATGAAATGCTTACACTGAGAGGCCAGAAGGCGCCAAGACCTCTGACAAGATCCCATCTGCCGCCTTTTGCTTGCTCTGGACGTGTGCTTGCTGAGGGAAATGACGGCGGAAAGGGCCATGCTATTGAAACGCTGGCTGCATATTCGAGATCCTTCTACCCCAGAATCCTGAATGCTAGAATTCATTGTAGTTGTAGGTGTGCCCCACATCTTCTTGGGAGAGCTATGTTCTGGAGTCCTTGCCCACAGCAGGCCCCAATTCTCTGTGATGTTGGCCTTTGTGTGAGGACAAGTTCACTTGAGCGGAACTCACGGCGCTGGGCACACACTAGCACTTTGTGGCCATTGTTGTTTCTATGTGCCTCACAACTAACATCTGAGAAACCCAAACAGCTCAATAGACCATCTTTTCTAGAATCTTCCTCACCCCTTCCCCCCGCATCAGTAAGTGTCCTCTACATGGCTTACTGTGTCAAACTCCAACTCCTGGGAGCCTACTCCAGACTAACAATGGCTGACCAGCTACTTGAGCAAAGTTACCTCCACCTCCCGACTGTCCCAGGTGGTGGCAGACGCAGTTCCTAACCACTCTGGTCTGTAACTCACCAGTTTAGCAGGCCGGTTTTATTTATTTATCTACTGATTTTGAGGCAGGTTTCCCTAGGTAGCCCTGACTGTCCTGGAACTCGTAGAGGTCCTCCCGTACAGTACTAGGTGCCGTGGCTTGGTGCCTCTGGAAGCCCTTACTCACGCCGCCACAGGAACTCGGTTGGCCTCCCTGCTATTCCTTTTTAAACGCTTCCTATGCACCTCTCTCTACATAACTCCGGATCTTGGGAGTCCCAAGGCTTGCCACTCTTCTCCATCTCCAATCTCTCCTTTCACCCATTGCTTTAACCCCACCCACACACTCATGACACACACATTTCCACAAGCAGACTAACAAACTCAGCCGCCAGCCCACATCTCCACCCATCCAAGCCGTGGGTTCCTGTGTGAGAGTAACAAGAGGAGGGTCAGCGAACGGTCATGTCCTTTTGAGAAGGGAGCCATAAATAATACAGCCTATCCAGGGCCAAGCAGTCCAGGCTCAGGGAGAAAGGAGTGACAGGTGGGCAAACTCACCTGGGATAAGATGTCCTAGCTCTCACAGTCGCCTACCTTCTTACAACAAATTATAAGCCCCAGGAGTTCGGGGATCTTCAGGAAATCACAAGTGACCAGATAAATGTGTAATAATCATTTTCTCCGAGACCCTTTAGCCCTCCCTTCCCGTGCCCCCAGCATCTAGCTGAGTGCCCAGCATGCTGCAGGCGCCAGCACGTATCAAACACATTAATTAAGGAAACCCTTTTCTTTCTCTGCCATTGTTGCTCTGGGTGGGGAAACCACCATCTTCAGGAAGCAAGAAAAAAGGAAAGAGAGCAAGCGAGCCATATAGCAGTGCAAAGCAAAGTATCGTAGGGGCTTTCAAAGCTGTGGCCTCCTGATGGGGGAAATGCGCTTTAAATACAGCAGTGATTCCCCCTCTTCCAGCGGACACATTTCTCTGCTCGGTTCTTCCCCACCAACTCCGCTAGGTGCTTAGACCTTAAACAGTGACTCTCCTAAGTGCAGAGAGGACTCAGTCTCCCAGTCCAACCAAAAAGTGAGTGATGGAAGACTTGCTCACTAGTGAATGATGAGACTCTCCCCAGCAGGCTAGAGGCTCAGGGCCGCACTAATGCCAAGGCCCTGCTCCCAAGTAGGGGCAGCAGCAGTGAACAGGTAGAGTTTCCGGCTGGCAGGAATCCAAGGACAGACAGAGCAAGCAGCAGATAGGGTTGCTGTGGACAAATTCCTAGAACAGAATCGCTCCCTTGATGTCCCACAATAGCAGAAGGGGTGACTGGCAGACCCGTGAGCACAGTTAGATGTCTATTGTGATCCTGCGCTAGCCACCCGATAGCTCTCCACAGATCCCCAGGGTCTGGCTGCCCGCCTGAGTCACCTTGTGATTCCTCACTTTGGCAAGGGGGAAGGAGGGGAACACTGTGTATCCTGAGAGAAGTGTGTCTGACATGCCTGATCCGTTCCATCTGGGCGCATCATGAGTCCCATCTGGCTCCAGCAGTCTGAGCTGAGGAGCTGCAGATCCCAGCAAACCCCAAGCTCCAACCCTCTCCAGCCCGCTCCTCCTTCACCTCCCCTAGACAGGAAGACCCCTGCAAACTTCTCCTCACCTAGTCCCTGCCTGCTTTCCTGTAACACCCTTCACCCATGGGTCTGGGCATCCACGTTGGGACCGGGTTCATGGGAGACCCTCTGCAGAGGGCAGGCCTCTAGGGAAAGTACAGAGTAGTTTGTGATTCTGATTTATGGTGATGGGGCTCCAACTCGGAGCATAGCGGATACTTCACCAACTGAGCTGCCTTGCAGCTTCAAAAGCCCACTTCCTGTCCCTGACCTTATATCACCAGAGCAGGGCCTGGTTTGTAGACAGAGCTCCCTGCAGAAGGTCCTCTCCCATGCCTTATTTGCTGGGGTCCCAAGATACACAATTGTCCTTCTCTTGGCTGCTCTCCATCCCAGGAGAACCTCTCATCCAGATGACCTTCCTCCCCTCCCCGGAAGTCTTCTCAGGTGGTCCCACGAGCCCTGGTAGGGGCTGGGCAAAGCCCCAGGAAGCTAAGACTTGGCCTAAGATGTTTGCAAACATTGGAAGTTTCTCTCTCCATGACTCATCAGAAGAGAGCGGAGTCCCTCCTTCTTCCTGGAAGGCAGTAAGAGCAAAGCCAGCTACAACCCTTCCACCCCAAAAAGTAAACAGCCCTCACAAAGAGCTCTTGCTTCAAGACTCAGATATCACCCCAAAATCAGTCATGACAGCCTAAGGAAGGGGACGTTTTCGAGGCCACAGACAGCCAGAAAGAGGCTTCTCTGACCCAAGAAATGGCAAGAGGGGGCTGGAGGCACAGGCAAGCATTCACAAGTGTGTGTTTTCCAGAAAAATAACGGCTCCCCTTCTCTCTTCCCCAGCCCTATTTTATTTGTGTATTTATTGTTTCTTTTTCTGAGACAAGATTTCAAGTAGCCCAGGCTGGTCTTGAATTTGCTATGTAGTTGAGGATGACCTTTAACTTCTGATCCCCCAGCTTCCAACTCCCCAGTGATGGGATTACTTTACAAGCATGCACCACCATGCCCAGTTTATACAGGGCTGGGACCTGAGCCAAGGCCTTCCCATGTTCCACAAGCACTTCCTCAACTGGATCCCCCACCCCAAACTCATCCTTTAAAGTTACCAGCATCTTAGCCGGGCGGTGGTGGCACACGCCTTTAATCCCAGCACTCAGGAGGCAGAGGCAGGCGGATCTCTGTGAGTTCGAGGCCAGCCTGGTCTACAAGAGCTAGTGCCAGGACAGGCTCCAAAGCTACAGAGAAACCCTGTCTCGAAAAACCAAAAAAAAAAAAAAAAAAAAAAAAAAAAAAGTTACCAGCATCTTAACATAAAACCTGAGCTGGGAACCATGGGAACTTTTAGCAAGGATTTCAATGGCACCTAACACGGTTATAGGAAACAATCAACGCGTACACACACATAAAATCAGGCTAATTCAGACCAAAAGGAAGAAGGAGAAATGGAAGACAGGACAGAAGCTT